CGGGTGGGCGGGCCCGGCCGCCGCGTGCACCTGAGGCGCGGGCCCTGCCTGTGCCCTGGGGCTGGGCGGGGCCGGGCGGAACCCCGCGGGCCTCAGCCAGCCAATCCTCGAGGGGGTAACTGTGGCGGCCCAGGCTCCGTTTAGGAGATGGGTTGTGACTGGCCAGGGTCTCACGCGCACGACCTCACGCCCATCCCTGTAAGAGCGACGGGGATTGTTCTGAAACTGGGACTGTTAACTACCCCAATAGAAAGGCTGGGAATAACAATTTTTAATTCTGATCCAGTTGCCCTGTCTATACTTTGTTCTGTAACGAGTCATTTTGTTCAAGCAGTTGTAAAAATTTAGCTTCAAACAAATGTAAAACTTTGTTCAAGCAAAGGTAAAAATTTAACTTCACGATTAACGATTCCATCCTAGAATTAAATATTCCCCTCAGACTAGTTATTCCTGCCCAGTTTCTTCAGGAGTTAACTGGTAATTTAAAAATAGCAAGTGCCGGGCGCGGTGACTCAAGCCTGTAATCCCAAGCACTTTGGGAGGCGGAGGCGAGAGGATTGGCTGAGTCCAGGGGTTTGAGACCAACCTGGGCAACTTGGCGAGACCTTATCTCTACAATAAAAAATAATAGTAATAAGCCGACTGTGGTGGCGTGTGGCTGTAGTTCCAGCTACTTGGAAAGCTGAGGCAGAAGGAGCGCTTGAACCCAACAGGTTGAGGCTGCAGTGGCCTTGAACGTGCCGCTGCACTCCATCCTGGGTAACAGAGTGAGACTCTGACTCAAAAAACAAGAAAATAAAAGAAAGAAAAAAAATTTAAGAATTAACCAGTCATAGCCGTGTACCTGTAGTCCCAGCTACTCTGGAGACTGAGGCAGAAGGATCTCTTGAGCCCAGGAGCTCAAGGCTGTGGTGAGCCTTGAGCAGCTGCATTCCACTTTGAGTGACAGAGTGAGACCCTCCCCCCGCCCGTTGAAAAAGAAAGTACAAAGAAATGGTGAAATTAACTTAAGTAACATTTTATTTAACCCAGTATATCTAGAACACTGTCATTTCATCATACAATCAATATAGAAATTATGGGTATTTTACATTGTTGCATATATAAATCGTTCATCTTACCTTCCCTCCCTATACCAAATCTTTTTTTTTTGAGTTGGAGTCTCACTCTGTCGCCCAGACTGGAGTGCAGTGGCCACTCCTGACCACCGCAGCCTCGACCTGCTGGGCTCCGGGATCCTTCCGCCTTAACCTTCCAAGTAGCCGGAATTACAGGTATGCGCTACCACGCCCCGCTGAATTTTTGATTTATTGTAGAGATGAGGTCTCGCTACCCAGCAGGTCTCGAACCCGCGGGCTCAGGTAGTCCAGCACCTCAGCCTCCCAAAGGCGCGGGATTACAGGCTGAGCCACCCAGCCCGGCTCCCCATACCAAATCTTAAGGATCCTGTGTGTATTTTACAGCACATTTCAATTGTACTAGCTACACTTTTTAAGTGCTTAGAAGCCACATGTAGCTAGTGACTATCTTATTGGACAGCAGTATTCCCAAGCCTTCAAGGATTTGTGCTGCTAAATGCAACCATGTAAGAGATTCCTTATTATAATAATAATGACTTAATGATAGAAATGACGAGGAAACTCACTATTGTCTATCCATATTGCCACAGCCCTTAAAGAAAGGCATAACAAGTGTTCAAGTGGTCCTGCACGTACCTACATTCCTGAGAGTTAGCAAAGAAAAGCGTTTTCCCTTATCTCCTATACATTCCCTGTACATTCCTGAGAATTAGACAAATGTTTTCCCTTATCTCATACATTCCCTGTAAGTCACTTCAAGGAATCCGTATCTCCCCTGCAGACAGTTCTCATTCAACTGAGAGAAATGAATCATTATTCCTTCTATCAGTGGTCATAAGTTTGAAAAATATAGTACCCATGTAACTATAAGTCTTGTAGTTTGCATAACTTTTTGTTGTTATAATTACTAATTAGCACTATATTATAGTAAATGTTTTGCTTGATAATGGGCTCTGTTGACTTTCTTGCTCTAAGGCAGGCTTGATCAACAAACATCTCTGGTGTTACTGATGAGAAAAACTGTGGGCTATCCTTGTTAACTGGCATTACAAAATGTGGACAATAAATGTTACTATTAACAAAATACAGCTGTCACTTAAGTTCTATACAATGCTCTGTCAGTCTTATAGTCAATGTATAAATACCAGCAACCCTAAACTCATCAAAACAGACTGTGAAACCTAAGGGGTGAGCAGACTGGTTCCAGAAACAATAGGAGCCAGGTTCTGTCTCCCTGGATTCTGAATTCAGAAATAAACTTCTTTCTGCCAGTTCTCTGCCTCTTGATTTATTGACATTGGAAGATAGCAGCCAAGCGTTTACTTGAACCGTAACAGAAAGAGAACTAAGTGTACATTTTAAAAAATATCTGTTGGATAAGGAATATTTAATAGTGACTATATTCTAAATTGAAAGTAAGACTACAGAAGGTGAAGCTAACCTTGCCATTAGGTTTTACACATGGAAATAGAAGCATTTCCATAAAGCATAGTAGATTTTTAAAAAATTATGATAAAAAATGTTATCACAGGTGTTTGTCATTTCTTTGTACTTACTGTTCACTATTCCTGCTTCCTAGAGAGGGATGACTATGCCTTTAGTAATGAACTTAATTCTTTCTAATATCTAAAATTGCAGTTCTTATCTGGAACTAACTGAAAAAGAAAGCAAAGCTTCTTGAAAATAAACTCCTTTTTTGTATCCTAAAATATTATTTTAATATTTCAAAATAAATGAAAACTTCTATGAGAAGAATGTTGACCTGTGTCCAGACCAAGCAAGATGAAAAAGTCTTATTTTAACATTAGGGAAATATCTAGGCATCAGAAAGAGTTTGAAAACAATTCAGTAGACTACAAAAGAAGCTGTAGATCCATAAGAAGAAAACCATTTGTCATAGATGGCCTGACCACATATGCAAAACAAAGAGCAACTGTGATGGTGCCATCCAGTTGCAAGTGGCACTGTGATTACTATCTGAAAGCTATTATTATTATTATTATTTATTTATTTATTTATTTTTTTGAGTTGGGGTCTCACTCTGTCGCCCAGACTGGAGTGCAGCGGCCACTTCCGGCCACCGTAGCCTCAACCTGCTGGGCTCCGGCGATCCTTCCACCTCAGCCTTCCAAGTAGCCGGAATTACAGGCATGTACTACCACGCCCGGCTGATTTTTTTTTTTGATTTACTGTAGAGATGAGGTCTCACCGCCCAGGCGGGTCTCGAACCCGCGGGCTTAGGCAATCCACTCATCTCAGCTTCCCAAAGGCGCGGAATTACAGGCTGAGCCACCGAGCCCGGCTAGATATTATTATTTAAACTGCATTTTTTGTGAGAAAGAACTTGGAATCTGAGGCCCTTTATTCCTCAAGATTCTGAATGTGGATGTTCCTGTTTTCTATATCAGAGAAACTAAAGCTGATGGCAGGTAGCAGATTCAGGGTAAGAAACTTAGATTAAATAGATTCAAATGCTAGCAGATGTGGTAGCTTGCCTCCGAGATTGGACCCAGTGATCCCTACTTCCTAATGTAGGTCTCTCCCATTTTGTACCAGAATTGGTCTATGTGACAAATAGCATACAGTAAAAACGATTGTCATTATATCACTTCAGTGATTACATTATAGAAAATTTCCACCTTGGATGGATTCTTTTCCCCCTTTCATTTGTCTGGGAGAAGCAAGCTGCCTTGTTGTAAGCAGACCTTTGAGAAGCCCATGTGATGTCAAGGATGAAGTCTTCTGCCAACATTCAATGAGGAATTGAGGCCCACCAACATTCTTGAGTGAGGTTGGAAGCAGCTCCTTCAGTATCACCTGAGCCTTGAGATTAATATTGACAACTTGACTGCAGCCTCATGAGAGTCTCAGGACCAGAACAACCCAGCTAAGTGACTTCCAGATTTCTGACCCTCAGAACTGTGAGAGATAATGAGTATTTGTTGTTTTAAGCTACTAAATTTGGGGATACTGTGTTACATAGCAATAGATAACTAATATATGAAGGGGGACCCCCTCAAAAAATGGAATTATCTTTTTGGAGATTGAGTCGCTTGTAGTTTACTTGGAATTTGTTCCTCCAGATCAAACGGTCAACCAAAGTCTTTCTCTGGAAGTTTTGAGAAAGTTGCATCATGATTTGTGGAAGAAACGTCCCAAGTTGTGGCAAGCAGGTGATTGGTTCTTCCACTATGACAATACTCCTACCCACACCACACTGAGTGTTCAGCAGTCTTTGACCAAAAATGACGTGACCCCTGTGCCCCCCCATTCTCCTGATCTCACCCCTAGTGACTTTTTTGGTTTGTTTCTCTGATTTAAAAAAGTCCTCAATGGGAAACATGTTGCTGAAGTGGGAAACAAAAAATGGCAGAAGCACTAAAACGCATCAAAATTGACAAGTTCAGAAACTTTTGAATGGTAAAAAAAGCATCTCCATAGGTGCATTGCATCAAACAAAGAGTACTCTGAAGTTGATTGAAGTGTAAACATGGAAGAATAAATATACAATTTTTTATAAATAAATTCCATTTTTGGGAGGTCCCCCCATGCAAATTATTTGAATCAAACACTATGTTGGATTAAAATTCAAAAGAATAAATATCTATAATTCCTTTATTTATTTTACCTTCTATTCCACAGAACAGAATTTCACAGATTAACTATGCACAATAAAAGACAGTGTAATATATTGGTTAAATACATAGCCTCTAGGTATACAGTAGTAGAAAGACCAGTATTCAATTGTTGACTCCTCCAATTTCTAGCTTGTGAGCTTGGGCAAGTTTTTAAAGTTTTCTAAGCCTCAGTTTCCTGTGATGGTATTTCCTAGCACATAGTAAGTGCAAAATAAATATTAGCTATAATTACTAGTTTTATTTTGATTATAGACTCTAAAGAAGTAGCTCAAGAACTATATGTTGGCCAGGCTCGGTGGCTCAGTCTGTAATCCCAGCACTTTGGGAGCCCAAAGCAAGTGGATTGCCTGAGCCCACGGGTTGGAGACCAGCCCAGGCAACTTGGCAAGACCTCGTCTCTACAATAAATAAAAAATTAGCCAGGTTTGGTAGTACATGCCTGTAGTTCTGGCTACTTGGAAGACTGAGGCGGAAGGATTGCCAGAGCCCAGCAGGTCGACGTTGAGGTGGCCATGAGTGTGCCACTGCACTCCAACCTGGGTGACAGAGTGAGACTGTAACTCAATTAAAAAAAGAACAATGTGTTCTCCATAGATTTGGATATATCTGAAGGTTCTTTAGGCTACAGCAGTCAGCAATTACTTGCCCGAGGAGAAGAAAGCCTCCAAAGAAGGAACCCCTCCTCTGAGAAAAGGATAGAGGGTCCAGACTTGGTCCAGTGTTATAGTTTCAGACCACATCTCAGTATCTCATCACCCTGATGCATATTGGTATTTTGTAGCATAGAACACCTGCAGCCTAGCCTAGCAGAACTTGACGCAGTTCTACTGGGTTGTTCGATAGAATGTGAAATCACATTTCTATTGTTATGTGATCCAGTCTGACCTGGACAGAGTGGTAACTAACTTTGAAGACAATGGATCTTGAGCAATTCTGAAAACTAGAAAATTTGTATAACCAAATACGTTGAACAATAGTTTAAGGAATTATATGTTCAGACTTTTTCTTCAGATGAGTGCAATTTCCAGTGTGAAAATGCACAACTTGACATCAACAGTTACAATTGTTGAATTCTATAGATATTATTATGCATCACCACCAACTTAAACATCCTATTAGTGGCAGTAGAAATGTAAGTGCATTTCCTACACCTACATAAAGTGAAATATGTCACTTGCATTTTAAGACTGGTTATCACATTCTAGAACAGACGTAAAAGACATTAGTGAGGGCCAGTATTAGAAATTTGAGTTCCCCAGAAGACTTTTTTTTTTTTTTACATTTTTTTTCTTTTAAAGATGTGAGGTACAGTTCAGGGTTAGGTATCCAAATGTTCATTATGCAGGTACCCTTGTTGATGAGGTATGCTCCCCCAAAAGACTTTTAGATATATATATATATGACATAGCAAGAAAATTGGGTCATTAATGTTATTTACTTCTTCATTCATATGGATAAGCTGTTATGTGCCAAGCACTGTTCTGGATTCTGGGAACTGAGGAATGAAACAAGATGTCTGTTCTCATGGAGCTTATATTTTAGGTGGAGGATGGAGAAGTTGACAATAAACTTGTAATAATAAATGCACATTTAAAATAGTGCTAAGTGCCAAGAAGAAATAAGAGAGAATGATGGTACAGAATGGCAGTCAGTGGGTGGCTGTTTTAGATTTCGGAGAAAGTAATCTCTGAGCTGAGATGCAAAGGATGAGAAGGAATCTACCATGTGAAGATCTGGGAAACAAATGTACTAAGCAAGAGAGCAGCAAGTGCAAAGACTATGAGGTAAGGGATGTGCTCAGGCTGTTTGAGTAACAGGGAAGACCAGCGTGACTGGAACATAGTGATCAAAGTGAGGAATGGTGGAACATAAGTCAGAGACATGGGCAGGAGGCCAGTTTATGTGGAGGCCAGGTTGTCTAGTGTCTTGTAGATAGTGGCAAGGAGTTTGAATTTCTTCTAGGAGAGAAACCATCAGAGTATTTTTAAGCAGAGAAAGGATCAGGTCAGATCTCTAGCATAGAAGAAACATTCTGCCTCGTACATGGAAAACTGACCGTAGAGGACAAGAATGAAAACAGGTTGATTAGGAAGCTATTCAGCATCATAAGCAAGTGCTTATGATGACCTGAATTAGAGTAGTACTTGTGAAAGAGATAAATGGGTGAATTCAGAATATATTTTGAAAGCAAAAGGTGAGTTTTGTGTCAGTTTTTGAAATGGAGAAATTTGATGGGGTAGGGGTTTGGAAAAGTAAGAGTTTTTTAATTCCAATTTTTTGCTTCTTAAAAATTGAGGTAAAATACACATAACATAAAATTTATCATTTAGCCATTTTAAAGTACATTAAATATAGTCACATTGTTGTCCAACCATCACCACCGTTCATCTCTAGAATTCTCTTCATCTTACAAAACCGAAACTCTGTATCTATTAATTCCCTACTCCTCACAGCCTCTAATAAACATTTTGCTATACAGAAGTCTCCATGAATTTGACCACTTTAGGAACTTTATACAATGGAGTCATTCTTGACTGGCTTATTGCCACTTTGTGTAATGTTTTGGAGGTTTATCTCTGTTGTAGTATGTGGCAGAGTTTCCTTCTTTTTTTTTTTTTTTTTTTGAGTTGAAGTCCCACTCTGTCACCCAGGCTGGAGTGTAATGGCATGCTCACAACCACCACAGCCTCAACCTGCTGGGCTCAGGCGATCCTTCTGCCTCAGCCTTCCAAGTAGCTGGAACTACAGGCACTCACCAAAACGCCCAGCTAATTTTTTGATTTATTGTAGGGATAAGGTCTCTCCAAGTTGCCTAGGCTAGTCTCGAACCCCTGGACTCAGGCAATCCCCTTGTCTCCATCTCTCAAAGTGCTGGGATTACAGACTTGCACCACTGTGCCCAGCCTTTTCCTTCCTTTTTAAGACCGAATAATATTCCATTGTATGTATACATTATTTTGTTTACCATATCCATCAATGGACACCTAGGTTGCATCCATCTTTTGGCTATTGTGAATAAAGTTGCTGTGAGCATGTATGTACACATATCTATGTGCTTATAGTTCTTTGGTTGTATATCCAGAGTGGAATTGCTGGATCATATGGAATTCTAGTTTTCACTTTTTTACTATTTTATATTCCCATCAACAGTGCCCATGTGTTCCTGTTTTTCCACATCCTCACTGACACTTGTTATTTTCTGGGTTTTTTGACAGTAGCTATCCTAATGGGTGTGAAGTGGTATTTCATAGTGGTTTTGATCTACATTTCCCTAATGATTAGTAATGACCATCTTTTCATGTGCTTATTGGTTATTTATTTGTTTTCTTTGGAGAAATGTCTATTTTAAAAAAATTTATTGTAGAGATGAGGTCTTGTCAAGTTGCCCAGGCTGGTCTTGAACCTGTGGGCTCAGGCAGTCCTCTTACCTCAGCCTCCCAAAGTGATAGAATTATAGGAGTGAGCCACCACGCCCGGCTGAAATGTCTATTCTTTTGCCCATTTTTTAATTGGGTTGTTTTCATTGTTATTGTTGATTGTGGGTGTTCTTTATATATTCTGTTTATTAACCCCTTTCAGATATATGATTTGCAAATATTTTCTCCCATTCCATGGGTTGTATTTTCACTCTATTGAGTGTATCTTTTTATGCACATAAATGTAAATTTTTTGATGTAACCGAATTTATCTATTTTTCATTTTGTTGCTTGTGTAAGATTTTCATTTTAAATACAAGTTTGGGATGTCTATTAGATATCCGAGTGGAAATGTCAAATAGTTGAATTTATGAATCTGAAGGTCATACGAGAGGTCAGAGTGAGATATAAATTAGGGATTTATCCACATATAGATGGTATTTAAAGCCAAGGGTCTAGACGAGATCATCCAGGAGAAGATTCATAGGAACACATAGGTCTCCCTATGGAATACTGTCATCTTAGAGTAAAATTCTATAAAAAGAGATCAGGAGGTCTTGGCTGAGTTAGATTTGGATAGTATAAGTTATTAACTGTCTTAGTGTGTTCTTCTAAGCTAGATACTTAGGGTGGAAATTAGACACAGGTAGATGCTTAAGGTGGAAGTTAGAAGGCCCTGGGCAAATATCAATTGGCTCTGCTATTGTATTATTATAATAAACTAATAATAGCCCATGACCTCATTTAATTCTCACAACAGCTCTATGAGATAGATATTCTTGTTGTCTTCACTTAACAGACAAAGAAAGAAAGGAGAAGTTAAGACAGATCCAGTTACTATAGTTATTTCTGGCAGGTTCAGATTAGAACTTTGGTCTGTGTGATGGTTAGCTTTACGGGTCAACTTAACCGGGCTAACGGATGTCTAGATAGCTAGTAAAACATTATTTCTGGATGCGTCTCTGAGGATGTTTCCAGAAGAGATTATCAAGCATTTGAATCAGTGACTGAATAAATAAGGTCTGCACTCAGTGTGGGCAGGCATCATCCAATTCATTGAAGGCTTGCATAGTGCAAAAAGGCAGAGAACATGCTTATTGTTCTACCTACTTGGAAGGCCGAGGCGGAGGATCATTTGAGCCTAGGAGTTTGAGGCCAGCCTGGGCAACACAGAGAAACCCCATCTCTAACAAAATTACAAAAAAAAAAAGAAAAAA